GGCCTTTCAAATATTCCTAAATACTTTAGAGAAAAAAAGATAAACTAGAAAGTCTTTAAAAATACTACATAAGAAATCTAAAAACACTATGTGGCCATTAGAAACAACAGAAAAAGAATTTAACATAAGCATTATTATCGTGCCAAATTGCCAACTAATCACTGCCAATTCAAAAAGAAAGTAGAGTTTAACTGAGGAATGAACAGCATATCAGTATTGATGCTGGATCAGATATTGTAGGGAAAAAATAGACTGAATCTGATCCAATTGTGTAACAAATCTAACCTGAAATAGCACTCACTCGCATTGGGATGTGAAGTTTTTAGCTGTGTACTTCTTTATTTTAGTTTATTTAGTATGAGCATGATACCCCACTTTTAGATGCCCATCTAAGTACTTCAATAAAAACTGCTAGTTTAAAGCTTAGTAGTCTAAAAATCTGATCAGTATCAGCTAATATTCAAAATTTCAGAATTAGTATCAGAATAGATAAAGTTGTATGGCATGTGAATAATACCAGACATTAAAATTTGTGAGTGAAAAAGATGACTCAGAAACCAATCCCTGTCCGGCAGTATCGCTCCTGTAGGAAAATCTTATCGATTTTAATATAAAATTCTGGTGCACTCTGAGACTAAACTACAGGGGTAACTGCTGTGGAATTATTTAGTTCAACAACTATGCAAATGCAGTCATGTCTGAATACTCTACTGTTTTCTAAGTATTTAGATTTTTTTGCTAAAACCCTTTTGCTTCTCATATGAGGTTAAGTAGTCAGTGTGAATGACATTTGGGAGACATCTTCTTTTGAAATCCCACATCTACTATAAATCAAGGCCATTCTAAAAACTTGGACCTCAATGGCTGCCATGTATATGGTCATTTAGCTCTCACAGCGGTCACCACAGTTCACAGAAATCAACATGTTCTACATCAGTTTCAGACAAAAACGAAATGGAACTGTCTTGGTCACTAACAAAGATAACACGTTAACCATTTTTCAAACATCAATCGTAAGCTGACGAGGAAAGAAATCCAAATATGGGAAACTGAAGCCAACTTTACTACCCATGAAACATGGCTCTCTTTTCACATTTCGGTAATGTTATCTTAATTCTGTTGGCCTTTAAAAATGAAATCTTATATCTGTGGAATGGCTGAATAATGACTGTGAAGTGACATTGTGCTGTGTTTGGGAGTGAGGAGGGATTCTCTTCTCCTCCAAAAATGAAAAACTCATCAAATCTACACGATTCACACAAATGACATATTCAGCATTTACAATGGCGAACTTTTTCAGAAATGTGACAAGTTTGCAGGTTTATTTACTGCAAGATTAATAAGTGAATGAAAGTGAGACTTAACAGTGAAAATAAGTCTGTTCATTATAATTGTAACTAGTGAACATGAGTGAAAGGTGTTTGGGAGAGGCCAATGCATGGGATGATCTAAGAATCTTACATCTGTGAATCTTTTTGCAGAGAGCAACTGTGGCAGGCAGCAAGCATTTTAACTTCAGCCAATTCATTCTATTTGGAGCACCGCTACACAGTATGCCCTCTCAGAAACAGACTCCACTGACTTCATCTTTCTCTCAGGGCATTTGAAGATGGCACTCTACTGAACCTGGGTTTTACTGCATGGGTGTGTGTGTGTGTATGTGCTCTACACACCATCATTAACAGTAAAAGTGAAGTCATGCCTTTGGAAAACTGGGAAACCTACTAACACGCTTTAAAGGCTTTTACACCCACCTTTAATATACACAACTACAGCTGCAGCACAGAGCCGTGGGGAAAGCAGTGATTTTTGCCCTATTCAAGCCAAATTCGTTTTAAGAGAGGAAGTTTTCGTGACACAGTTTGTCTGGATTTCTAACAACATCTAATAATGACAGGATTACAAAACAATTATCTAATTAAGCAACAGAACACGAGAGGGAGTGTATTATCGCAAAATGACATCTCGGCTGTGATGTTACTCGAGATAACACACAGCCTCGAGTGTTCTATTGTTTTTATCCAGCAGTTAAATAAATAAAGTAGTAAATTAATAAACTGGGCCGTGAACGCGGCGTTTAATATGTTTTAATGTTCCTAGTTCCTTCCGCCTAACTATAGTTCCTTAATAAGCAGCTTGCTGCTACGTCAGAGTAACGAACTCCACTCAATCGCTGCACAGTCTGCTGTAAGCCTCACCTTTTGAAGTGCGGACTGAGCCATAAAACTGCTGCAATATCAAGTTCAGCTCAGTTTTGTCAATTTTTGCCAGATCAATATTAATGTTTTTTGTTCCAGCCAGTCTGTAAAGCATCTTACAGCCCATTTAGTTTGGCGAATGGTGTTGGGTTCATTTCTGGCTGATTCCGGGTTGTTTAGCTGTTCTTCTGCCTCAGCTGCCGACTGAAAAGCTGCTCAGTGGTGATGACAGTTTGGGAATTTAGTGTCATCTCATCTTCAGAGTCTGACCAAATCGGCTGTCGGTCAAATGTGATCTCAAAAGTGTCCATTTTCTGTTTGTGGCAAAGTAAGGAGTAAAAACGTTCAAATGGCTTGAGCGTCTCGTACAGCTGTCAAAGTCGTTGCTTAGCAACGTCGAGTGATACAGTGTTTGTGAAAAACGGTTAGAATGCTTCTCAACCAATCAGCTTGCATGGCCGGAACGAACTGTTATATAATAATAAAATAAATAACATTAAGTAACAATAACAACAGAGTGTGTCTAGAAGACTATTCACTCCACAAAAACTAAATAACTGCACAATTATCAGACTGTAAAAATACAGACTTACGGATCTGGTCAGTAATCAATTAAATAGTTCCTCTTCAGGAATACCAATCAAGCTCGAACAAAGCACTGACTTCCTCCAGTCTCCTATACTGACCATATGAACTCTCCAAAGTTCAGAAGGTCTGTGGCCTTTATAATCCCACAAGTTTCCAGTCTGGTTTTAAACAGACTGCAGGAGTCTATAAATGATCTGCTTTCTGCTTGGATCACTGGTAGACCTGGTCAGGGAGCAACTGCCCCACTTACTGTTCTCTTTCTCACCATGGTGGTTCAGACAGCCTGAACATCAACATGCTAAGCTCTTTCCTCACTGCACAAGTGCACAGCTCACAATGAAAAGAATTTAAGTCATTTGTTCTAAGTAGCCATAATCAGATTTGGGGATCATTTCATTTAATGTCGGCTCTACTGATGATGTACAGGTGACCTCACATTGAACTGGGGATGAAGTCGAATGAAAAACGTACTGGTCATAAGCTTATGTATGCTGCACTGAATTTACATGATTTGAACGTGTACATAATTTTACATGAATAAAATATATTACATCAACACAACTGTGTCTTTTAAAATACTTACTTTTGGCAATAACTGTGTTGGTGTAATATATTTTATTCATGAGAAAATAATGCACACATTTGAGTATGATACTTTTTTCAGTGTAGGAGTATGGATAACATTAGCAAGACCACGAAGTAAAGCACGAAGAGATGTATTTTATGGTTTCAACATTAAGCATAAGGGAATGAAGTCAGTTTTGAGGACTGATATCCAAGACTATTTTCGGAAAACGATTCACTCTTTTTCACTTTCAGGGCCGAACCCATCTTCTAACTTCCTCAAGCCCTATTAGGACAGAGTTACTTTTACTAGGGAAAGTGGGGAAATGTAATGATTACCGGCGTCTATCAGTGATTTTAGTCCTGTCCGAATGCGCCATGCCAATTTTTTTTACCGACTAAGTGCTCCAACGTCAGTAAGATTCTGGTGCCTTTTACCTTCTGCACAACTAGCAGTAAAAATAACTTTAGGTAATTTTAATCCTGTGCAAAACAACATTGCAGTGAAAATGCTTGCATTTCCTACAGAAAAGCGAGTTTCTTAGATATGGGGACACGCAAAGAAGCGTTTACTTGTGTTCTCTGACAAAGCTTACTATAATTTTCTTACTATAATTTTCCCGTAACTGCTGCACTATTTAAGGTGGAACAGGAAAATTCAAACAAGAAGCTGGTGAATGGGAAGCCAATTTCAGCTTCATTGTTCTCTGTGGCTAAAATTAAGTCGAAGTGTAACGTTACCGTCCTGTCTCACGTGTACAACTCAGAAGGTAAAAGTTTCAGAAAATATGATTTTATGCGGTGAAGCTGACTGCTGTGAATTCCCAAGCTAATGGCGATGTTCATTACGCGTTGCTTTCACTTACAACAGAAAGGTAAATGGTTAGGTTGGTTAGGTAAACCAAAAAAAAAAAAGGCTAAATTAAATGTTTTAACATCTTCTCTGCTCTTTTCTGGGGTGAAGGCAGCACACAAATCGAGTAGCCACTCCCATCTTTGTCATTTAGACCGAGGTTTCTTATTCCGTATCTTCTTAAACATTACAGATGTCTTGAGGTAAACTGGCATTACCCCACCTCCCCATGGAAAACTAATCCTGTCCAAATAGGGCTTTAGTGCCCAAAATGTACCATGTGTTTTGTGTGTGTTTGTACTGTAAGTGTCTATGAAAGGGAGCAAATACAGACGAAACCAACCTCGTCACCACATAATCTCTCTTAATCTGTGTGACGTGACCGCTGCGTTTTTTTTAGCAGCAGTGTTTGCATTTGGGCTGAGAGTTATTTTCTCAAGAACACCCTGCAACACTTAAAATCCGCAGGTGGATGTTTCTGTTTCTTTTGATGTATGAAATCACAGGTGCAGCTGTAGTTTATTTCAAAAATCTGTGCACCACAACAGCTCAGGGCAGAGCCAATTCCATGGTGAATTCAATTCCCCTAGATCTGTTTCCTTTTTCATTAAAACAGAATTTAAAACACAGTGTCTAAAATGCAAGACACCTCCTAAGCAACACTCGAGTTGGATAAGTTTTACCAGAGAAGGCTGTGTAATGTAATTTGTAATGGATTTGAAGTATAAGTCACCAAATTCCCACAGATAGCTTGGATCAAATAGTACAAAAGGTACAACTCAAAAAGTAGAACCCACCTGCTCCAAAAGCGAAGAAGAAGCTTTTGTCAGGGTGCTCCTCCATCAGAGCTTTGACCCTCTTGCCCATTCTCTCATTGCGCTTATAGATGAGCTCCTGCCGGAAGTAACTGTCGATCTCCTGAGCCGTGATTTGCTCGCTGGGGGGCAATGTGGCGTTGTTAAAGTTGGGGACCTGAAATTATCACAAAATTATGTTAAGGGAAATGATACTAGACTGGAGTTTCGGACTGGTCCTGTACTCTCTCCCTGTTTATGGGAGAACATGTGGCAGCGGCTGGATCAAGGAAGTTTTTTTGCTGGTACTATGTGGGAGATGATACAACAAAAACATTCAATATTTGGCTGGAAAAATTGGCCTGTATTAATATTCCAAAAATGTATTGCTATTGGAGGAAATTCTACTATAATAAGAAATATTGTATAAATAATGTTTTCATAAGAAAACCTCATGTGATGTTGAGATACTATTTTGAAAAACCAAACATGCCGTCAGGTGCTAAGCGTTGCTAATATCATGCTTTGTAATAAGACCTTGACTGACCATTGCATGATATGGCAGCCAATGTTAAGTGATGTGAGAACAGCAGCTGTTTGCGTTTTGGGATGAAGTGAGCAAGACTAAGATTACATAACACAATAATCTCTTACAATTTCAAACAACAAACAATTATTTTTACAATAACAATCATTTCAAGCGCAGTATCCAGTAAAGCAATCTTCAATAAAAACTACTGGAGTTCATTTGTAACCTTATAAAAATACATCAACCAGTATTACTGATTATCAGAAATGTTAGGTTCTTCAAGCTGGTGAGAATTTTCATATTCCTACTGTGTTAACATGTTTGTATACCTGTGAAGTGTCATGGTTGAAAATAATGGAGTTGAGGTCCCCACAGTTGTAGTGCTTGATGAGGTCCTCGGTGGTGTAGGGTACCTGCAAACTTCCTGCCCGGAGACTCTCCTGCTGAAGCAGAGTCTGATTCAGGGCAAATATCACCTACAACAGACAATAAAAGTGCATAGTTTAGTATAGCTCTAAACTTCTTTGTGCCTAATTCATTCCTGTGTTTATTTGATTGCATTCTGCCAATAAAAAGTAGGCGCTGAGGTAAACATTCAAACTTTTTACAAGCTGTTACTTTGTCTAGTTAAACATTTTGCTGAGATATTGTGGTCAAATGATGTGATAAAATAAAAATGAAATATGTTCTGAGACTTGCAGTAGGAAAATATTGCAGCAACAGGTGTTTAAGGCAGAACACTGGCCTAAGAAAAGACAAGAAGATCCAATTACAGCTTACCACAATATGACTATCAGAGGGTGATAACGAACTTTGATGCAGAATCAACAGAGAGACAAAGTTTATTTCAGTTGGTACGGTATGATGCTTTTTCTATAGCAGCACCGCAAAGTGAGCAGCTTTATCATATTCTCCACTATACCAAATGTGCAGGTAACAACAGCATTTCATTTTCCTGTTGCTACGTTACACTGAATGAGTTAAATTAATGCAGGCAAAGAAATGTTTCATCTTAAATCAATGACACAAAGTATTATTATGTGAAAACAATAACATCAATTAGCATTAGTTCTTTCTTCTGGGGCTTTGATATTTGCGATAAGGAATGACCTGAAAACTCTAAGATCTAAACAGTATTCATTTTCTCGCCCTTCTTTTCTTGCTTCCAAGCTGAGCTTGGGAACAAAAGCTCTAAACTCGCTCTCCCTCGCTCTCCCGCTCTCTTCAAAGTGCTAACATCAGGGAGTCTTCTCAGAGATCAAAGGCAATGTGCTGCGTTTCTTTCAATTAGTTCTACTTCTCCTCTTTTTGTTGGTCCTGTTTCGGGAGCTCGCTCTTGTCTCACCATGAAATTCTCCAGTGTTTACCCACTGGCCCAGCCTGTGCTTGTAGACCCTGATTACATACACACATAAACCCCACCAATTCTTCAACCCCCCTGAACCCACCCCACCCTGACCCACTCTTCAGATCCTTTCTGACTGATCACTCACAATAGCTCTCCCCTCACCAAAATAACAAGTTTATTCGTTTCTCGACGGGGAAAAATCAATCGTGCCGCCACCCACCCTCATGAACGGCACTGTTCTCTGCGGAACATTTAGCTGTACAGAGGGGTGATGCATGAATTCAAGAGTCTTCTGCTTGCAGAAACACACACACTCACTCTCTGTAATTCTCTCACTCTCACACACACACACACACACACTCGTGCGGCTCGACCCTTTTCATGTGCTGTGATGACACTCTCCGGCCCTGGCTGTCATTGTTTCAGGGTTTCGTCCTGGACAAGAGGGCAAAACCCAGCAGATGCCTTCTTGTCTGGGACAAAGAACTAACCCCCCTCTTCCTCCACCCTCCTCCGTCGGCCTCTCCTCGACTCATACTTTCATCCCTGGCCCATCAAAGCGTCCTGCTCTGCATTTGAAAGGGGGCCGGCTTTATGCCACTCAAATTAGCCTATCGCCACCCCGCCAGCCTCAGCAAACGCCACAACAAAAAAACTTTCCCCATCTGCTCCAGGGCCGAGAGTCCATCTTCGAGGTTTTTTTTTTTTTCTCAGAACCCCCACCTTTCCCGCCCTGAGCCCCTTCCTTTCAGCATCTTAAATCATGGTACTGTGGGGTTAAGGTGGGGGGATTTAGGGGCACACTTTTAGAGAAAGAGTGAGTCAAAGAGAGAGAGGGGGTGGGAGCTAAGAGAGCGAGAAGAAGGAGAAGGAGAGCAAGAAAAAGAAAAAGATGAAGAAGAAGAAGCGTCAAGCTGAACTTCGTCCTGTGAACCCGCTCTGTTGTGTCCAAGCTATAGGTCAGTGGGTACGCGTACACGGACACTATATACGTACTCCTCACACGCCATAGCTAGCTCCCATCAAAGAATGGTGTCTCTATGAAAGTCAATAATTCTTTGTAATGGAAATCAGAAAAGAGTGAGTGGATGATGACAGAAAAGGAGAACAAGAAGAGCGACTCTGTGTCTATGCTCACGGATGAACCGTCGTTGAGAAAGCAAAGGAAAGCAGGCATTGTGGGACGACTCACTGAAACACTTGTTGACTCTATGGGTGGATTTGAGTTGATTTATTAAAGCTGACGGACCTGTTGCGATATTTTGTCTCCAGGAATTAAAAGGCAATATGGATGGCACAGTCAGTAAGGCTGTTTAACCTGTTTAATTCATCCTCAGTTAATTGTCTGGTGCCTTTTTCTTTTTATCTGCAGGCTGACATATTCCACACAATGCCTGCAGTGGCCAGGCAACTCAGTGCAGTTGGCAAAGTCCCAAGGCCAAATGAAGACTTCCAACTCCCCCTTTCTCTCTCTATCTCTTTGCAAAGGCATGAATGAAAGACATAGATGTTATCCAAGAAACCCAAGACTTCATGCTTTTGCCTCAAGACAAGGTCACTTTAATGGATCCACAATCCTTTTTAGATACAGAGACTTGCTGGAGCAGAAACGTTTCGAGCGCCAGACGTCTTAATGGAAGACAGTGACCGTATGTTGTTTGTTCAGGGAAGGTTTTACAGTGACCCAAGACCAGCGTTTCTCCAAATCCTTCTCCACGCTGATGAAACAAGCCGACCTCAGGTTAGAATCAGGGAAAAACTCTCTATTAAAGTTCCTTCACAGACTAGCGTTGGTGCTACTGATGGATGGATCGTCCTGTCTGTCAACACTGCCACTGGTGGACAACTTCACAGTCCCGTGCTAATGGACGTACTTAAGGACATTAGCCTCTATTTTTCTCATTACATCACTCTGTCTTGTGTTTTCCCAGCAGTTAGGAAACACAAACAGCTCTTTAGGCCGGGAAAAGCCTCACACACGCACATGCTGCCCAGCTGGTGACATCATCGAGCTGTCTGATTGGCTCCTGTTGTCCAGTCGGGCTGTCTGTGAATGACGTTTGTCAAACCACACGTATTTCCCACGCTGCACTGCACTTCAATGCACATTGGTGTTCATGCTAAGAGCACAAGATTGCAATGACATCATGTATGTTCTTCCTTTTAGATAAGCCTTGTGATGTTGACACAGAAAAGCTGAGACTAAGCATTGTGGGCTAGGTCAGGAGGGAAACGTTAGAGTATGGGAGTAAGCTAATTTAAACCAGACTCATGTGGTTAGGAAGAGAGGATGAAAGGAGAGAAACAGAGAGAGACCCTCTCGCTGTCGTTAATGGGTCTGGTTATTTATTATACGCATTGTGTGTTTGTACGGGTTAAAGATTAACTAGGGGGAAAGGGGTGTTTTACAGCAGTGGGAGTTTGCTGGAGCGTGACTATTGGGGTCAGGGTGAAGTCTCCTGTGTAAATCCTCAATGAGCAAACACTTTTTCTCATAGTGTTGACCTTTGCTAAGGTCTTCCGTCTTAAAAATAAAAATTCCTAAATGGTTCCTGGCTTGGATGAACAGTTCTAGGAAAAAAAAAACTTTTAATTGGCATTGAACCTTTACATTATGTGGAGGTACTTTCAGTGTTAAACAGGTTGTTCATACTTGCGCATCTCATTTACAAAAAAAAAATTCTACAAAGAATCGTCCGCCGAGAGGTTTTTAAGAATCATGAAGTGTTTTTTCTGTCACATCACTCCAAATAACCCTTTTTGACATCTTTATCCAAGAGTGTTGGCAAAGTGACTAAAGTTTCTACTGAAGTTGGCAGCAGCTTCAACAATGATCCAGTTAATTGTGTCGGTGGTCTTAGGTGGACCTGTCTGACCATAATCTGGCAGAGTAGCTGACCAACCACTGATCTGCAGTAAGTCGTTCCTCTTAAGAACATTAATGCTGTTTTCTTTTGCTATAAAAGTTTTTTTTTGTCCAAAGTGTTGCTTGACAACCAGCTCACATGCTGATCCAAGGTTAGCCTAGAAGCCAAAACACACGATCCCACCCAAGAGGCTAAGAGGAGTGAAACCCTACATGTTACCGTCCTTCTGACCACTCTGTCTACATCTTCCCAGTGAAGCCCAACTCGAAGCGAGATTTAGAGGATGGCTAGCCACGCCAGAAATCCTGCAGGAGATGGATGGGTTTCTTCTCCGGTCTGGCGTGTTCAATCCTCAAACTCTAAAGATCCGCACTCCCATTCCTCACTTTTATAACTACATAACTTACACACCAGCTTTGCAGTTGTTACTGAATTCATAGTTATTCATAGTAATAAGTCTTAAGAGCAGAGCCAGGAACTCTGTCCCATGTGCTTTTAAGTAAAATTTAATTCTGCTGCCGTGCCTTGCCTTAAACCAAACTATCTCAAAAAGAGAGGATCATTGAGTGTGTTTACATGCACTCAATAATCCGATAACTGCAGAAAATCAGATTTTGTCAGTAATCTGATCAACACGTTTACATGCACTTGAGTAATCAGGTAATGGGGAATCTCAGGGTCTACATGAGTCAGGCAATAATCGGTTTTCTGCTTTGCAACCAGCCAACAGACTCACAGAAGAAGACGTAAAGATGTAAAACTCAAACTTCATACTGCAGCTTTTCTTAAACATCGCCTCACTGGAAATATGAACTGACATCACCTAGAAAAATATTCAAATCCTTTATTTCGTGTTTGGTTTCAACAGTGTTTCGCTGCGTCTCGCAACATCCACCATCTGTTCTCGTGCATGCGCAGACTGAGAAATCCAAAAGAAATCAGAGTAAGAGTTTACATGCACTGAGAAATCTGATTACTGAGCTAAAATCCAGCCTCTTTATCAGATTTCTTAATCGGGTTTCTAGATCGGAGTATGGTGTTTACATGACCATTGAATAATCGGATAACTGCAGAAATCTGATTATGATTTGTTTTTCAAACCTCAGTTCCTACACTTTTAAAAATAAAAATGTGTTTTAGTTCCGTAAGGAACCTTATAATGAAGGTGTAAAAAGAACCTCTTTAAACTGTTAAGATTTGGGGAATCTGGAGATCTTGGAAATCTCTCTGGTGGAAATGTGTTTTTGGATGCAAGATGTGT